AATGATGATGATGATGATGATGATGATGATGATGATGATGATGATGATGATGATGATGATGATGATGATGGGTTTGCAAGTTGTCTAAAGCAGACTGACAGTCTTGAGGCCGATGTTATTTTCGGTCGGGTTTTTATTAAGTGAATTGTCTTTTTTTCTTCTCTGGGACGGCTATTATTTTTTTTTTTACTTCGTCGTACCCGTTCTGTCCCACTTTGATTCGATTACGTTTAAGTTACTACAGTTGCCACCCATATTCCAAAATGGTTTTACGATGTGTGGGAAACATTCTTTGTTTATGATCACATCAACAGGGAGGTGGAGGTACAATTTTGCTTAGGAATAAAATTTGTGGTAAAAGTTCGCAGAAAAAAACAGTTTCTTTTAATAGAACTCTTGCTGAAAAACTAATAAATGTAGTCCATGGTAAAACATTGCATATTCTTAACAATCAGTCTTACAGTGACTATTGGAGAGAGAGAGAGAGAGAGAGAGAGAGAGAGAGAGAGAGAGAGAGAGAAGAGAGAAAGAGGGGTGAGCGGAGAAGAAGAGAGATAAATAAGAGAGAAAGAAAAAGAGGGGAGCAGGAGAGGGGGGGAAGCCGGAGGGAAGAGATATAAGAGGGGAGAGAAAGGAAGAGGGGAGTGGAAGAAATAGAGACAGATGGGAGAGGAATGAGAAAGATAGAAAGGAGGGGGGGGTGTAAAGAGTGGGGGAGACAGAAAGGGAAAGAGAGAAGGAGAAAGCGGGAGATAGAGAGGGGGAGAGAGAAAATGGCCGCCAAAGTTTGGTGATTTCCAAATCTTGAGAGTCCTTGTTAACTGTAAATTTACAGTTTTGTGGTTTAACCTTTTTTAAGTAAAATCCATACATCAATATATTTTTGAATACACATAACAGGTGTGAGCCAAAAAATAAAAATTCGATAAAAATTGCCAAAAGAAAAGAAAAATGCCATTCTCTTTGATTTCATTATTTTGACGAGCGCAATGCCTCACAAATTCCCGAAGAGCAAAGAGCAAACACTGTGAAGACCTGAAGCCTTACATGAAGCACCACAAGCACAAATATAACTGACCATATTTCCCGCCTTCCAGTGAAGCCAGATTCGTTTCCAACGCTTTTCTAGTAGGGTTGGACATGCGACTGTAGTGGTATTCCTAGACAGGAAAGAAAAACCAAGAAGAAGGGGTTGGGGAGGAGCAAATCCGGAAGACTCGAAGTCTAAGAATTCTATTGTGTGTGTATATGTGGTAGGCATTAAATAAACATCATATCATTATTTTACTTTCATATCATCACCATCATCATCATCATCATCATCATCATCATCATCATCACCATCATCATCATCCTCATCATCATCATCATCATCATCATCACCAGGCCATTCGAATGGAGTTATTTGGACGAGTGGAGGTGCCGCTTAGCAAATTGACAATGGAGCCGAAAAAGAGCCTCTATTTCGCTCGAAGATTTCTTCGTGTAGTCCGCCAGGCCCATTAAGAAAACAAAAGCAAAAATCATCATCACCATCACCATCATCATCATCATCATCATCTTCATCATCATCATCATCATCATCATCATCATCATCATCATCATCATCATCATCATCATCATCATTAATATTATCTTTATTATTATTGAATGTCGCTAACTATAACAAAAGTGAATAAGTCCGGGTGTTTCTGTGTTCCTCACATGCACTCAGAACAGATTTTAAATCGTTCTTTAAGACATCTTTTTAGCCTCTATATACTATAGGCGAACTTGCCCAGGGAAAGAGACCAAGAGGAAGACCAAAATTGAGGTACAGAGACACCTGTAAAAACAGCTTATCTAAGCTTGGAGTAAATGCCAGCATCTGGAAAGAAATAGCTGAGGTTAGGAAAAGATGGAGGAAAAGGATAGAGGAAAGAACTATAATGCTAGACAGCAGCCTTAGAAACAACCAGGCTGGGAAGCGCCAATGACGAAAGGAAAACAGCAGAAATACAGAGCTTCCATCCACGTCACTGACATGCAAGCATTGCGATAGAATCTGTGCTTCAAACATAGGAAGAATTAGCCATGAAAGAAGCTGCATGAAGACAACCTTGAGACCATCATAAGCTAAATTAACCGTCTGCATAGACAAAAAGAGCTATACACTACACAATAGGCCACACATACTCACAGACACACCAAATTGACCGTTTGCATAGATGAAAAGAGCCATACACTATAGGCCAAACATACTCATAGACACACCAAATTGACTATCTATATTGACGAAAAGAGCCATACACTATGGACAAAACATACTCATAGACACACCACCAGCGTATGTGGTGTAGCGTTGGGCGCTTCACTGGCGCATGCATGATGCACGAGACCCGAGTTCGATTCTCAAGTGAGGAGAACTTGTATCGAGTGTCTCAGTCTTTCTGCCGGGTCTTGTGCATCCCTCTCAGCCTGGGTTGATCCCGAATAGGCAGGGTCAGAATAAGGCAGTCTCCTAATAATTGTTTAAAATGTGTCGATCGAGCATAAAGCACCTAGATATAAAATCAAATTTACCGACACACACAAACCGTGAGTCAGGCAAACATGCAGACAAGAATTTAGAGACAAATAGACAAAACGTACTTTAAACGAGGCAGCCAGACATTAAGAAGACAAATGAATGGACAAAAATAATGTAGGTGTAGATATATTTTTACGTCCCGAATCCAGCCATACACACAATATGGATAAATTAGAAGGCAGATTGCATTGATCATCATTCAAGCTCAATGCGTTTTTACTTTATTTCGTCTCGATTACATCCTGGGTTCTCGATCTCAACGCATTCACGTTTGCAGTTTGTTTGAATCTCACCTCAAGTGCACTGACAAAGAGTATCGAGGATAATTCGTTTTTTAAAGGAAAATTGACGCCTGTTATGCGCGTACGACTTGTTCGAGTATCTAAAGTAAGTTACACAACAACAATAACAATCATCAGTATCATCATCATCATTATCATCACCATCATCATCATCATCATCATCATCATCATCATCATCATCATCATCACCATCATTATAATAA